CACTTGTTTTAAGCTAGTTCTTCTGTCTAGTTTTCCTTTAGGTTTGTCTCCTGTCCTGTATTTGGCCCTTGACTCAGGTGTTGGTGGGAGTAGCGGCCCCCTGTAGTATTGTGCAGTAGCCGATAGAAAGGAAAAGCAAGCCTGCTGTAGATACAGCAGATGAAAAATCAGCTTTTTAAAACGACAACACAAATCAAAAGTTTTGCCCTCCTGTATGAACAGTGTGTGTGTGTCTGTTTTGTATGCAGAAGCGGTGTCTAAAGTTAAAAAAAGAAACGCTGACTTATGTGATTGTGGCATTCCCTGTCAGTGTCACTTCCCCAGATGAGGGAGGATATATGTCAAGAAGATAGAGAGGCGGGCCTTGAATTGACTGTAAATCCCTGTATGTTCTCACCTCTCTTTATATAGAGTTGTATACTGAATGTTTATGTTTCCTCTTCTCTTTTCTCGCTCCCTGTTATTCCCATCCCCACCTCTTTATTGCTGTCAGTCTGAGTCTGACATTCATTTATTTCCACCATCAGCGACTGTCTTGTCCCCTCAGTATCCAGACACTTTCTTCAGCACCTGTCAGTTCTCCAGCCTGGCGTCGTGCGAATGTGTCTGTGTGGGTGGCCACAGGTAGAAGTAATGGAATGCAAATACGCTGAGGTGTCGCAGCAGAGAAGACTATGAGTTTTTGTGTGTGTGTGTGTGTGTGTGTGTGTGAGAAAGAGAGAAAGAAAGAGAGAGAGAGCCAGGCTGTAGTTTATCCACCGCAGAGTTTGTTGGGTTCATGCCACACCAGTTGGAACATTTCTCCTGGGTTTTCCAGCCTCGTCTTGCCCTGGGCAGCATCCACTGTCTGGAAGACGCAGGGCGGGTGGCAGCATTGGCACCAATTCACCAAAGGCCCAGTTTAATACCATCAGAGGCTTTTCGCCGTGACTGGGCGCCATGCCGTGCCATCTTAGGCAAGGACTCAAACAGCCCTGGAGCAAATTACCCCTAGCATCACCCACTCCTCAGCTTTTTTTTTTCCATCTTCTTTTCTTTATTTCTCTATTATTGCCTGTTCACTGTTCAATAGCCTCAGTGTCTGCTGCTGCTCTAAACCATGAATCATATGAGTCATTCGGTTTCTCTCTCTTTCTCGGTGGATATAGTCTTTCTTTTTTATTTACTGTGGCTCCAGACTCAGCATCTTAAAGATTCCAGTCTCAGTATTATCCCTTGGCTGATCTGCGGTCATCATAGGAGCTATTAGGCCAACCCAACAGCTATCCTTACAGACCAGCTGAGGTGGCTGACAGGTATCATTTAGCAGCAAAAACCAATGTCTTGGATGTTGATTGAGTATATACGAACTCCCGCCCTTTTCATTAGTGGATGACTCCCTGCCATGTGTGTATGCTTGCATCTACACATCTGTGTGTGTGCAATGGCCTTTTAATCTAAAGCCTACATGAATACTATTCATATTGTTAGGAATCTGTATTCATGTACTTGCATTTGAATCTGCATAAGCGTTCAAATACAAGGACAGATTGAGGCTCTTCTACTAAGTAAGAGGCCTCAGCTTTATCGCTTTACATTTTCCAAGCATCTGCAGTGTCCCGGCGTCTGCAGCAGCATCCACAGATGACTGTAAAACCGTATTTCAGAGTCAAAGTATATTCCCTTATCCTGATGCGAGGACAGGAGAAAAGATAACAAGAGTGCCTGCCCAAGCAGAACCACTGCAGAGTCTGCACATAACCGCCAGTTGTTCTGTTGCTGGAGGTTTGTTAACCGGCAAAATACAGAAACGCGCATGTGTTTGATTTCACAGGGCGTTGATCAGTGCGTTGTGCAGATGAAGGTTAAGTCTAAGAAAAGAGGGGATAAGAGACGCCATTTGATACAGTTAAGAATGATAGATTGTACTTTGCGGTTTGTAGTCCAGATCTTAGAGAAGGGATTATATCTGCCTGTATTTTATGTTGATGAATGAGTTTGTGGGAGGATAAGCACTGACACTGGGAGAATTGTGAAAGGTGATATGTTTTCTGGCTCTGTGGACTATCTTCATACAGACTATTCGCATCACCATCAGCAAACAGCATGACACAGAGTCAAGGAGATTTATAGCTGTTCCAGAATGTAAACTTCTGTCGTGGTTTTTTTGTTTTTGACCCGAGCACGGTGTTAAGCTTGACAGAAACTGCAGGCAGCATAGATGAATATATTTACATGAAAATGGCCGTGTTGTGTTAAAACCTTCAAAAGCTGGCTCCATTTCCAAGGGAGAACCACATGGGGAAACGGTCCCTTATACTTCAGTCTCCCTTTTTTAGTGACTCTCCTTGTGTGAAGCTACTATAACTAAAGTAAAAATGTAGGGGTTTGTCATTACAGTATGATGAGGTCAAAGTCGCAGCCAGTTTGTTAGACTAATGGTAAATGGACTGCTTCTTACACAGCGCGTTCTGCTCAATGTCTCATCCGCTCAGTCACACAGACTTTCATGCAATGCTTTTATCTATACCTAAGCACCTCTGCCTGACAACTGGGCAACCCAGGGTTCAGTATCTTACCCAAGGATCCTTGGACATATGGAGAGGAGGAGCTGAGATCGATTCAGCCACAGCAGTCCCGAACGACTAATATGGGTAAACATATTGATATCCGTCAAACTATGGCCCCAACAGTTTTTCCCACAGCTGTCAGGCTAGTAGTTGCCAGGTGCATGTCTGGTCTTACTCTCTTGCCACTTTACACCTCCCTAAAGTAATAAAAGCAGCAGGCAGCAGTTCTGCCACCCTGCCAAGGTTAAGCACACTCTCACACGACGGTGTACCAAATCATTCTTTGTGCGCCTTTGAGCCTCTTATCGCTCTACTGGTATTTCAGATCCAAAAGTATTTTTTCCCCAGAACAAAATCCAATTATTGTAGGAGAACAAGAAGATATTATACATCCTATCTGAGAAGAGAAGTAGCTGTGAGAGAGAATCTTGACCTTTATATTTCAGATAGCCCTTCTACATATTTTATCAGTTCTTAAAGAATTTCTGAGCCTGGAAGCCAGGTGGTGTTTGGACAGGATGGAGATGCATACCGGGGTTTCTGTTTAGAGCCAGATAACCATCGGGTGTCTTTGTTTTGTAGGCAAATGCTTTCTGTTAAATGTTTCAGTCTGTTTCTGGTTCACTCTCTTCCTGCCTACCTATTCTTATTTCCCCTGTGCGTGCTGTTTCATTTATCTCATCACTCCTTCCCTCAGTCACCATTATTCTCTATTCCAGCCGCTTCCTATTCAGTTCATCTGCCTCCCAGATGCCTAGAAGTCCCTCGCTTGCCCTTATCTTTCTCCATCACTGAGCCTCCGCCCACTCTTCTACGCTTACCTTCCCTCACAGATCCACCCTCATCAGTCCTCATCTTCCCTCATGACCTCATCTTTTCTCTTTCTCTCTGTCAAGTGACTGGCCACATGCTAATGTGTTTGTAGATAGCACACAGTGACTGAGAGAGGCCATTAGATAATGTACTGGCTGCCAATGGCGGCATCGCGTTCAGGACATCCTGGACAGAGCAAGTGCTGGTGTTAGCATTTGTCAGCAGTGTGCATACGTGGGTGTGTTTAACGGGTCTCTGAGTGTGATGGCGTCTGCTACTGATTGCTGAGTGTTTGCGTGTGTCTGATTTGATATGTTGTAATTCTCTGCACAGTCTATACAGTGCATATACTCATGTGTGCGTGTGCTTCTGGGTGCAAGCAAGTGTTAATAATGCAGGGCTGTTGATAACACTGAATGATTGATTACAGGGAGGTCATGCAGATCTCATGCAAGATCTCACAGAGCAAATCCTGGCAGCATCATGCCATCTCATTGTGCCCTGTCTGTGCATGCAGCACACTATCTCTTTAACAGAGTGAGTAACACATCTATATGATGCCTTATTGATGCGGTTTTGTGAATAGCTCCAATGATTTAAGTCTAATTAATGGATCCTGTTACATTAATTTTTAATGTCATTTTGTTCTTGAATTTCACCAAAGATCAAGATTCAAAAACCTCCAGTTTATCTTCTGTCCAAAACAACCAATTTAGCTCATCTTCCTCTCTTTAAGCTGTCTTTCTTCTGATTGGCTGCCCCTCACAAACAGAAGCTTTGTTAGCTGGTGGGCAGAGATATCCACTCTCTTTGATGTGAAACTGATCACAGACTGACCTCAGTATTTGAAACTTTGGCCACAATTAATATAAAGAGTGACAGAAAACAGCTAATGGGTTCACTTCAAGATAAATCTGAGATTCTATTAATAGCGCCTGGAGTCGGGGTTTGCAGGTGCCTGTTTTGCCGGAGTAAAGCTTATGCCTTCATGCAAGCTTCCCTCTGCACTTACATGCATGTTAATCTACGCGCTTGAACACTTTGCATATTCTTACACCTCTTTCTTCGACACCAGCAGACAGCATTCGGCAGAACACCACACTAAAGTCGTGACAAGAGCGTGCACAGCTCTCTCTCCTCTCCTTTCCTTCCTCCTCGGTGCAGGGAGCCGTGAGAGCGCTTGGTTGGGATGAGATTTGAAGTGACAGCTGACTGTTGCAAGGGAGGAGAGGCTCCTCTGAGGACCACACAGCTCAGAGAAAGAGAGAGGCATCCCCGTCCTCAAAGCAATTATGTTTCCTTGCATTACAGTTTATTTGTGGTTGCAGTTGTTTCTTTCATATAAAGACCTTGTTTATCCAAGTGCTGTTAGCTAAAAGTAGTGCTGTGTTCCCAATAATTGGGAACACAAAGCTCTTATTTACTCTCTCGCCTAAAGAGCAACCACTGTTGTCAAGAAGAGTAGTATAAATGTATGTAACATTCCCAGGTGTGGCATTGTTAGTGTCGTATGTGCAAAGGCAAAACCTGTTCCTGTGTGAGCCTATTAGTGCAGTATGATGTGCCCTTTATAAAGCCTGAATACATTTTTTTTAAATGCAACTAGCTTATATAATTCTGTGTGTTGTTTTTTTTCAGGTGTTTAACACCTACTCCAATGAAGACTATGACCGACGTAATGAGGAGGTGGATCCCGTGGCCTCCTCTGCTGAGTATGAGCTGGAGAAGAGGGTGGAGAAACTGGAGCTCTTCCCTGTGGAGCTAGAGAAAGGTGGGGAAAAATCTAAGAAAATCCTAATGAAGATGGGATCCTGTCAGCTACTTATCATACCCAACAGACAGAACCACCCACACAGGATGTCTTTGTTTTTTGCTTTCTTCTGTACTTTCCTAATTTCTTTCCTTCACGTTTCCTTCATCCCCTTCCCATAGATCATGCCTTAAAGTTTAAATCTCTCCCTCGACCATTAGCAGTATTTTGTTATTATTATTATTGTTGTTAGATGTTACAAAGAGATAATTCACAAATTGCAATTTGACTTAGATTATCCCAAAAAGCAAGGGTTGCTTAATTCATCCTAATTCCCCAGACGTGACACTGCATGTTTTCCACTTGTCTTGTTCTGGACTAAAATTCATTTACACCCAGGATCTAAAATACACTGACTTTACGTTGTGGGACACCACAATCTACTCTCTGTTATGTAACACTAACAGCATTTGAATTATTAACACAGGACAGGGATGAATGAAGGGCATTTCTCCTCCATTTTTCACATTCTTGTAAAAATTGTTTCATGTCTTGGAGGTTGACGTCTCCTTATTCTTTCAGTTAATACTGAACATATTCACATATTCTGTCGTATTCCACAATATGGTTGACATTGTTAACAGAAGTCATTTTGGGTTTGATTGACTGGATCTTTGGACACTTATGAAAATGCAGAGAATGACACTTGAAATTTGTGGGGTTTTTGTGTTTCCAGATGAAGACGGCCTGGGGATCAGTATCATCGGGATGGGTGTTGGTGCTGATGCAGGCCTGGAGAAACTGGGCATCTTTGTTAAGACTGTCATTGAGGGTGGAGCTGCGGAGAGAGATAGCAGGTGGGTGCTGCTTTCCTGCTGGATATCACACATTTCTTTCAGTCTAAAAGTGGGTCTGGAGACAACAAATAACATGCACGTAGGATTAAACTTGCATATGTTGTGCAAAAAGTATATAAATGTAGTCCCTCCACAGGAATAAATTTCCATAGATGTTTTTTTCCCCCAGCACCACTCCACCATATTGTCTCGCTCGGTCTTACATGCGCAGTCACACTCTATATCTCTCAGATTTAACAGCAGGGGTTCGGATTATATCCACCGAGAGAGGCACAGTCTTACACAGGTCTGTACCTGTGTAGGTGTGTGTGTAGGTGTGACGGAGTCGTTATATTAAATTATATTTCTTTTTCTCTGCAGAGTTTCTCTGCAGAAAAGCGCTGATTTTTAAAGTCTCTGTTTCTATTTATGTCCCTGGATGTTTTACAGTATTGCATTATGTGTTTTTGTGCATTATGAAAAGTGTAAACAGTGCAGAGTTAGCAATGAGTCAGAGATGGAGGAGATGACAGCTCCTCAGCTGACAGACTGGCCTCTTGAGCTGTCACCTTCCACCTATTAGTTTGTTTGTGTGGTTCAGGTTCCCCATAAACAGAAACTGCTCCTCACAATGCAGTTTGAAGCTAGTGAGCTCTTCATAGAAAACAAGCCTAATGCAGCAGGGCTGTTTGCACTAGGTGTTTACTCCTGGGATTTATTCTTATGGCAGAAATTCTGAGGAACATGACAGTGAGATTAGTTAAAATGTAACCAGCAGAGCGACGGAGAAAAGCAGCGGCAGAAAGGAAGCAGCTCCTTCGAAAGTGAGAAAAGTTGATCTGTTCTAAGATGACAGTTTCACTGACTCCAAAAAGCCTAATTTCCCATGGTGAGTGGGAGAAGTGAGAGAAGTTGAAAAGATCAGAGGAACACTGTGCTGAAGCTCGAGTTCACATTTGTGTGACTGTAGAGTTGAGCCTGTTTCTTTTTTTTTCTTTAGTGGAAAAAAAGTTTTTAGTTTAGTTTCATTTTTACAACAATGCTGTAGAAGCTGTTGAGCGTGCTCCTCCGTGTGCTTGTTTAGATTTTTAGCGATGCTAGCAGCGTGGCTGTAGGCATGGCGACAATAAAAACCAACCTCTAATCTAATAGCTGCCTTGAAATGATGTATTCTGAAAAATGTATTTATGGTCACCAAAGAATGAAGTCTGCTTTGTGTTCAGAGCTAATTAACATTAACACATGTGCACTACTGTGTAATGCAAATTTGGTGATCATTACACAGCAGAGGACAGCCACTGTTGCTATTTCATGAATATTTTTAACATCTAGTTTTTGTGATGAGACGCTACATGACAAAAATGTTGTTCATGGACTGTTCAGCTTTTGAGATTTGGGGGTTATTTTTCTTTAGTAACATGTCTGCCTTCAGACTCATGTAATGAAATACAATAAATACAAAAATACACATTTAGGTTGATATTTTACCACTTTACCTGCTGGACATTGATGCAAAATTTGCATGTTAAACATGTTTAAAGTGCTTAACATGCATATCTAAACATAAAATCTCAGAACACTTAAAATATTAACAAACTGACTTAATATAAGTGAAGATATTGGTGAAGTTTAATAGTTTCATAGTGATATTTGTAGTTTAGTGGTGAAATGGACATCTGCACTTAATATAAAGACTGAATAAAAGAAAAGAAAAAGGAAAAAAGAAATATTCACAAATCAAATATCTTTTTACAGCTGGCTTTAAAACAGCCAGAGTGCTGTGCATATTTAAGTAATGCATTCACATTTACATAATGCTCTTCTGTTCTTACTGACCATTCAAACTTTCATTTTAACCATACATACAGCACTTTATGGCCAATTTAGAATCAGCAATTACCCCAACACGCATGTCCTCAGACTGCGAGAGGAAGCCAATGTACTAAGTTTTTATTATACTTCAAGTGAATGAATGCTTCCAACATTATATTGCATCATTAGTGTCTTTATTAGAGATGGAAACACAGCTGTTCTTTATTGTGAATCTGCAGTTCTGGCTGTGGCCTCATGATGGATTTCACAATAGACCATGATCACAGTATTAGAGAAATAAACTGTACACTTGAGATGTTAGTGTCATGGCGGCAAAAAGTAATCAGTAATTTTTGTATGCTCACTTATTCGTGCACACACACACACACAGAGATATACACAGGGAGAGAAGGGAGGAGTCACTATCCAGAATGTGATTTCCTTGAGTCATTACCCTCCCTGCCACAGGGCTCTGTCTTTGCTGAGTCTGACTTAATGGTCTAATGTGCAGGAGCGCATTCACTCTCAGGCAGACAGAATGACTTGGCTGTGGCTCGATGTCTCGCCTGTGTGTGTGTGTGTGTGAGATAGGGGACATGAGGGTGATAGGATGTGTAATTCGGTGTATGTACATTAACTGACAAGGTCCTTTGTTGGCAGTTTTTTGTCTTTCCTGCTGCCTTTGTTTGGAAGTTGTATACCGACTAGGCTCGACCACATACAGCCACATTTGGATGGTAGCATCTATGAAGGTCAGAGAAGCATCTGGACCGCTGACAGACAACCAGCCTGCTGTCTGTCTACCTGTCAGGCCCACGTGTCTCTATACATCCCTGTGACATCTGTGATTGATGCGTCAGCTGTCACAGACATACTAAATTCTGCTCGGCAGCTGGTGTTATGTTGTAACAGACTGGGAGAAGGAGCTGCAGTTTTATATGAAGCCATCAAACACCTCTTCATTTTGATATTATTGTTGCGGTAAATAAAAAGGAAACAGTGCAGAGGATGCATTTGTAGGTAGCTAGTGATTTTGACCATTGTTAAATAGTCTTAGCTACTGTGGCTCTCTCCAGTTTATGAAATTGTAATTGTAGATCACTTGAGAACTCTTTTATCTTTGAGTTTTATTGCTTTTAAATTGAACCTATGGGGGTAGTTCATTCATACAAATCAAGAAAAATCGAGTTAAGAGACCTTCATCTCATCTGCCCATTTTATTTGATAAAAATGTGAGAAATGTACAAGTTTAAAGTTTTCAAGCTTGTGTTCATAAGTATCGAGGAGATGGGCCTTCTTGCACTCTGTTTTGGACCAAATAAAAAACCAAATTGCTGTTGAAGAAGAGAATAATGTGTCTGTTGTGGCTTCCAGCAATTAATTATTAGCACAATTCACTGTTTTGTTGAAAATAATGAGAGCTAGTTTTTGTTTTATTTATATGTTGAAGCAGTTACTCAAAATCCAGATTCAAAATCCCTCTGCATCTTTTTTTTCAGTACAAATGTTCATGCAAATTTAAATTGAATATTCAACAAGGCTGTCTGTTTTAAGCAATTTGTTCGCAGTTCCCCTGAATCCTGTATACTCAAGTGTTATCAGGAGTTTCATTTTAGGTCAAGAACTTAGGCGACCTCCCGTCATGTCCAGAGCAGAGCACAAATACCGGATGTATTGTAGCCGAGGGCGAAAGGCGTCCATGTCCCCATTAGCCCTCATAGTTTGTTTTGAGTCTCATCTCCTCTGTCTCCTTGTTACACAGTAGTCTGGAGCTATTGCACTGGAAATTTGTGACCCCAGAAAGTTTTCCGCTGTTGTAGTTCTATAAATTATGTGAACATGAATGATACGCCAGCGTGTTCGTGACTTTGTGCATCTTTTAGCCTTTGGACCACAATCATTTTCGAATGCAGAAGCCCAGCGTGAGGTCATATGTGCATGCAGATTTCAGCTTATATGTATGCACAGTAAAAGTAAAACGCAGACATTTATTCCTGATGTCTATACTATTGATATATTTTTATTTGCTCCTGCACAGTTGGTGTTGGAGCACCTATAATTTCATTGTACATGTACAATGACAATAGAGGGCTATTGTGTTCTATTCTATTCTATTCATTTATTTTATAATTACATGTTTATTACTATCTTATCTTAAGTGCTGAAAGATTCTTCTTCTTGCATTTGCCAGAATCAAAGTGAATGACCAGATCGTGGAGGTGGATGGGACCAGTTTGGTGGGCGTCACTCAGAGCTTTGCTGCCTCAGTCCTCAGGAACACATCAGGAGTCGTCCGGTAATACACACATGCAACCATAAACTATAATGCAGTCGAATGCAAAAAAGTATTGGGAACAGGACATAGTAATGCTGGAGTGATAACTCCATTAGAATTCAAATTTTGAGAGTTGAATTGTGAAAATGAGTTGTAACAGTGCAGCAGGATTTCAGGAAAGTGTGTCAAGCCGCTGTCAGGTCCAAAATCCACGACTACTATTATACAGTCAGAGTTATTTTACAGCTCCCTAAAAGCGCTAAAACGTTCTTTATATTTAGTGATGGTCTCTCTAGCCGCAGGAAGAGTATCAATGCAGTTAGTCCAGCTATTATGTTGCAAAAGTCCTATTTAGTGAGAAATACCTTAACATTACATGACGAGCTGTTTTTGACAGGGTCTGCTAACAGCACTGGGAAGCAGAGGAAGTACTCGCACACATAGAGATGTGAAAGAGAAGGCTGCGTTTAGTTGATTCTCGCTCTTGTCTGTCCTGTTTATTGACAGGCTTTCGTTTTTATTTCTCTCTCTCTGGATTCTCGCCATTGTGTGTTATTGAGGATGTTCTCCACTCTTTTCATTCTGCCACTTTTTCACCATTTCTTCTTCAGTCATCTCGGGAGAAGTGTGCGAGTTTATTTTCAGACCTCGACCTTGCTGGTGTAGAGCCCTCCATTCTTTGTCATGGATCTATATTCATATTATGCTTGAACTCACCTGTGGAAAGACAGATAGCTGTGTGGGAACTACGGTGTCTGATGAAAAGCTGACGGCTGAACAAAGAGATATCCAAAATAATCAAAAGTGTTGGACAGATGATGTTTGCTGAAATAATATTGACAGTGGAGATTTTCCAGGATGTGGCTGTACAGATGAGGCAGCCTTGAAAACGCCGACGTATATCATCTGTCCACCTCGCAAATATAAAGAAATAGTTATGACAAGTCTAAAAACTGAAATACAATGACGTACTTGTAAGATATATAAATGTTGTAGTCCAGTATATGAACATTAAACTCTGACAGTGTTTACAGGAAATATAATGATAAATCTCACTCCTCGCTGTTATTTCTTCCAACAAATTATCACTCCTCCTGCCCTCTCTTCACTGTCACTCTTTCAGTCTTCATCCATCAAGTCTCACTCACTCCACCCCCTCCTCCTCCTCCTGCTCCTCCTCTGTAAATCCTTCTCTCACTCCGTCTGATCACCAGGGGTTTTATGGCCAACTGTCCTACATTTGCCATTTTGCTATATTTACCCCGGCTTCCAGCAGCAAATCATCCAGGTTTAGAGGTGATCCCAGGATCTTTTAAAAACGTGCTGCCAAGACCCCGTCACAGACAGGAAACTGTTCCCAAAATACATGGAACATTGGAAAATGGCTTTAGCACATAATAGATAGCATTAGATAAAAAGAATAAGGACATCTGTGTTTGATTGATTACGGTATTTATTTGTCACAACAATGATTCTTGGCGTTATGCAACCCTGATACGCAACTCTCACGCACAAATGCATCAATGCATCAGAATTATTGTCAAGAAGCACTGTTACAACAAACAAATACGAGTTGAGGAAACAAAATTTCTTATTTTTTGTTAAGTTGAAGTTAATATTTTGTATTGATTAACTGTTTTACAGAGCTTTGGAAGAAGCATTTAAATACTCTGAGTAAAAGTGGCAATGTTACAGTGTAAACATGTTCTTCAAGAAGAAGTCAAGTACACAAAATACTACTTAAATAAAAGTTAAAAAGTGTCATACTATCTATGCCTTTTATCCGTAGCTCATTAAGCGGTCTTATCTTCTGTTACTGGAGTGTATTTGAGTTATTGTTTTAGAGTACATCACTTTGATAATGCATCTTGAGCTAATGTAGTTGCTTTATTCTTTGCTGTGGGTCTAATTCTATAACGAGATATCATAATTTATCAGTACCTTTTTATTTAATATTAATATTCTTCTAAATAATTAGTAACTAAAGCTTTAAAATAATGGTCATATAAGTACAGTAACTGCCCCCAAACTTTAGTGGAGCAGAAGTAAAAAGAAGCATTTTAAAGTATTTAATCGAAGTAAATACATATCATAGTTATACTTAAGTGCAGTACTTGAGTAAGTGTATTTTTTGCATTCCACTATCAGACTTAATCATGCTCTAAATTGAACTCAGATTAACTTGCAGTAGATACATTAGATAGCATGTCTCCAACACGGCTGACCAGTCATATCTGGTATGTGTGAACCTGTGCTGACATCCTCAAACGGCTGTCAACCCAGTGCTGCTTAATGCTCAAGACGTGTGTCCTGCATTGCTTCTCCGAGCATCACTTTCTGCATCCTTGCCACGTCTCTATTAATTGGAGTAAATGGAATAAATCAGTGGTGTCTGCAGCTGAGCTGATCCTGCACAGCATCCTGTGTGGCAGTCCCAGATCTTAAGGAGAAACTACGACAGGCTCCCCATGCGTGAGCGGAAAGGCTCTTTTCAGGTCAGCTACTCTTCAGACCTCCCTGCTGTCCAAAGGCTTCCTACAGTAGAGTACTTAGCTTAACCCCTCCAACCCCCCTTCTTTTTCTACTTACTGTGTGTCCTGGCCCTCAGTTGTTCCTTCACATGTAGATCAAATACGCCTCTCTGCTGGAGCGTAAGGCTTTCTCTACATCCCCTTTAGAAATATATAAAAGAGCTCTCGGGAGATGAATTCACTTGATTAGACCCCATCTCCGATCCACTCTCGCTCTCTTTTTCTGTTTTCTTCTCTCTCTCACACACACACACGCACACACACAATAGCTCGGGCCTCGCTCACACATACACATAGTTACAGGGACCCTGCAGGGTGAGCCACAAAAATCCCCTTACTTGATTGCTCGGCTTCGTTGGTGTTACGAGGAGAATAAATTGGTGATTGCGTTATAAATTTTCTTTTGAGTTGCAGAACTATTATGTGCTTTAAGTTTTTACATTTTGAGCAGAAGCGTGATGAGAGAGATGAGCATCTTTTTGCTTTGTTATCCCCTTATTTGTAGCTCTAATTTGTACTCTCAGTGCTCCCTCTCCCTGTAATATAGACAAACACAAATCTATAAGCAATCTTTAGCTCCTGCTCTTTGTCATCATCGGCATCTTTAGCTGTATTTTAATGTGATATTTTCTGTGTTTGTTTGCATGCGTAACTGCTGGTCTTCTCTGTTTAGTTCACTGCCAGCTTAATAACAGGCTGCCTGGCCGAGCTGACTGTCGCCTCACATTATTATGCGTGTCCTGTCTCCCAGCCCTGCCCACTACGTCAGCACATATCACTGCCATTGCTATGTGGCTGTGGGCCTCTGTTTTGCTCTCTGCATTACTGTTGTGTTCATTTCTTTGCATAAATACACATCACAACAAGAAAGATGGACAAAAAATGAATTTAAAGTTGTTTTCCTCTTCTGTATGATTTTGTAAAAAGGTGCATGTCAGGCTACATTATTAGGTTAAATCATAAGTTCCAGAGAGGTTTGTAGTTACGTTGTAGGTTATGATGTAGATGAAGTATAAATCGAGTGTCAGACAAATGTCAAACCCTTTAAAATATTAAAAATGAAAAATATTCGTTTTTGTCAGATGCTACATTTACGATTAAACCCTTTATATCGAGTGTCTAAAGAAAATAAATCTGATAACTCACAGTGTGAAAGGTCGTGGTTTTGTAATTATAATATTCATACTTGTAATTACAAGATAAATTATTTAACAAATTCAAATAGTCATGTGGTAACTAAAGCCGGCCGATATCGGTCCATATTAGTTGCTTGCCGATCTGTTAATATTTAGTAAGTAAAAAAAGACGTGAGAAACACCCTTCAAACATGTTTTGATGTTTCATTGTTTGTCCACCAGAGGGCGCTGCAACTTCCCTGCTGTGTTTTAAATGCTAAAGACGCAACAATGTGATCCAGGCTTCCATCCATCCAACATCGGCCAACATATCGCAATATCAGCATTTTTAAATCACCAAATATCAATCCTATATCTTTTAGGCTCTACTGTCATGTTGTGTAATCCCGTGCTGGCCGCCTCTGTGTCTGTAGGTCAACAGTGCCTCTTGTTGTCACAGGTTTGTGATCGGCCGGGAGCGTCCAGGTCAGCAGAGTGAGGTGGCCACGCTCATCCAGCAGACCCTGGAGCAGGAAAGGAGACAGAGAGAACTACTAGAGCAGCAGTACGCCCACTATGACGCCGATGATGATGAGGTATTGACCATACGCAACCCTGGCCACTGCCCTGGGTGTCCTCTACAGTGCATTTGAGACTTTGTGAATGATAGTCTGAATATGCAAAGGTGCAGCCAGGGTAAGATGCCAGCCTCTTAATATGAGGAACATTATCTTAATAAATCTCATTATATCTGCATGTATTTGAGGTTCATTTGCTAACACATTTCTCTACATGACACCGTAGTGAGAAAATGAGGCTTCTGGTTGTCACTTAATGCAAATAAGCTCCTTTCTCCTTCCAATGGGCTGGAAGTTATAGCTTATTAGCTTCATAAAACTGAGTGACAGTAGGCTTTGATGCTGACACACAGAACAGCCTCTCTCTCTCAGCCACACATACTAAGAGCCATGCGAGAGTCGGTCCTCGAAAGCATCACTCAGCATTTCTTTCTCTGATTCTGCTGCTTACTTGCTTGTTTAATCCACCAGACACTGAGCTCAGGGGCCTTCATATCTTTGAGTATGTGTGTGTGTGTTCATGTAGACACTCTTACACTGTGTATACACAAGACATAACACAGTGTAGTAACATAAATCAATACCAAGTGTTTCCTCACTTACATACACAGAAACAGCCGCACTCATGCGTAGATATACATGCAGACAAACACTACCAGACATCTTTCACTGTTTTCATCAGTGCTCTTTGAAGCTTTTCATTTCCCTGCAGACGGTGGATTGAGAGCACTCTTCATGCTTAAGAAACTCTTTTCCAGGCTCTGAATGCTGATACTACATGTCAGCACTGCCTAAGCTCCTACAGAGTGTTAAGGCTCAAATGTAATGTAAGATCTCAATGTTGAAAAAGAAAATAAACACTTTAAGGGCTTTTTTCCCTTACAGATCCCCACATGGACATATAAACATAAGAATGGTGATTATATTAAATTTGTTAATCCATACATCGATTAGAGCCTGCTGTAAAATGAATCAAAATCAGCCTCTGTGGAGCACTAAGGCATCCATAACTTGCTGCTGATAGGATAAACGGTTGCAAAAGGATTACAAAGATGCGTGTGGCAGTAAAAAGAGCTCATCAATATTAAAATCTTTATAAATATTAGAAAGAGTCATTGGGTGGGTGGGAGTTATTTCTCAATCTGAGGGCTGCAACAGAGTCTTCAGCTCTTTATTGGTGCTTAGAATCGGATCCCAAGAGGAAGAAGGAGTGCATTTAACAACAGACATGCAGCAGACACATGCATGCCAATCTGTTAACAGTTAAATGGAAGCATAGCCCACAAGTCTTTTATTCAACCTTTGGTCCTCTAAATAATCTCATGCAATCTTTGTCATGTTCAACATAATAAATAATAGTGACAGAAAGACAAATAATTCAGTTATCAAAGTTAACAGTATAGTAGTATGTGCTAAAACAATAATAATAATAAGGGTGGAGCTGGAGGATTACTGTTACAGCAGCCAAAAAAATAAACACAACATATAAAGTAGAAGAGCTTAGTATTATAAATACATTAATAATTAAAAAATAATAGAATAGCAATAATAATAAAATGAAGCAATAAAGTAATAATAAGTTTGCAAAATTGTGCTAAAGATGGAGTTGAATTAAATATAATAGGTTAAGCTTAATGAGTAGAAACATAAATAAAATAAATACTGATGTCGTGGTGTGAGGCAGGAAAGATCTCCTGTGGCTGTCAAAACTGCTTCCAGTCAAAGGTGCATCACATGCTGGGCACCCTCAAAAAGGATTGTCTTTATACATTCAGTAGGAGGAAGTTATACTGTGCGGATGACGGTGCTCCTGTGTGTTTAATGGTCAACTCCACCATCTGTAAATGGTGGCTTAATGTATGTAGATGGTACTGTTTTAACAACCAAGCCTGTTATGGAAATGGGACCATTCGATTGCGATGCATGTGACTGAATCAGGCCTGAGCCCTGCTATCTGGGAGATAGTTGGAGGGATGTGCAGGGAAAGATGAGGAGAAGATGTAGGGCACAGTAATGAGTAGAGCTGAGAGCAGAGGCACAGAAGTGTGTACGTGTGCATGTGGAGCGCGGGTATAAAGACAAGTGTACAAATATTTTCTGTATTTCATTACACAACTGATGATGGAAACTCACAGTATAAGCTAATTGTTGCATATCAAGCCTTTATCATTTCTGAATCATATGGAGATTATAAAATGTATTTGTGATGAGAAAGCAAATTTACAGGGGGAAAAAGTAAAAGTAAGCTGCAGATGTTTTCATGGAGCAGCTTCACTGGAAGTGTTCGAGTCTGTTGGTCATCAGCCAAAGACTGAATCAACAAATCCATTTGGGCCCAGTGCTTAATGGTTTTTGCCAATACTCATTATACAGTGTTTTGGGCATCAGAGAAGAGAAAAACTGCCTTGAATACATGCAGTGTAATGGCCTACATAAATATTTTTCATTTAAGTACTACTAAAAGCTGCAGTAATAAGTTGTTTCCGGTGACTTTCATTAGTCTCTTAATTTCTGAGAAACCCCGGCCTTCTCAGTCGTAGCGTTAGCCCCGCTGAATGCTCATACCTCACTAGTTTTGACATGTGACCTTGTTGCACTTGAGGCAAGATGGTGAGTAATTTTTGAAAAAACAAACCCCAAACAGGGACAGATTTTGTCAGCATAACTTATCTGATGGCTTACTTTTAAAGAAATTATAATTTCAGCTCACCAGGCTGTCAAACTGATTTATTTCACACAAAGTTTAGGCATGGTTACCTAAATCTTATGTAACCGGCAGCATTAAAATAGCATTACTTATGTAAAGTAGCAGGTGAAGCGAGGACGGCTTCAACAACATGCTTAAGAGTTTCGGGTAGTCAGACGAAAGAAGATGGAAAGGATGTAAAAGGTGACAAATACAAGGCTGTAACCACCAGAGCATTGCTGGCGAGACCAAATCTAGGTTTGGGTGTCTTGTGTCTTCTACTTGTAATGAAAAGTAAATAAAAGCAACTGCTTTCTGCAGAAATTACTGGCAGGGGCAGTTTGATCATAGTTGAATCCAAGGGGGGGTGTATCCCCTCCAACATGATTACAGCCTTGGATAATTAAATGTCACAGTTGGAGCCTGACAGGTTATCTGTTTTGTCTGTTTAGGCTATTCTGCAGCCTGTTAACTTCTCACTGGAGGGTGAATGCTAATAGCTGTATTGGCTTCACTGTAGGAGTGGCTAATTGCCTGTTCAGTTAGTCATTTCACCTCAGATACCGCTGCTGCGTTCGCACTGTACTTAAAGTGACATCTGTCACACATTTCACTGGTTTTGTGCGAGTTTGTATAGATATCAACCTTGACTAAAGTTTGTAGAAGTTCTGCTGGCTCTTTCCTGCTGTGCCTGCAGACTTGTGATGACAGCATGCAAATAAATGTCACTTTTACAAGACCCCGGGGACCCTTTACTAATATAAAACCTCTGTCATTTAAAAATGAATGACAGACAGACTGAAAACCAACCTTGGTTGCTTCTATTTATTCTTCATAAATGTGATAATATTAACCATCTGTGCTTTACAGTAAAGATTAAAAAATTGTGTGTGTGCTACTTGGATTTATATTTTGTGCTCTGTTTTAAATATTCATGCAGATAATTGTCTCCACGTGTGATTTTACATTTCCTCCTAAAGCAGACGGGAGAATACGCCACAGACGAGGAGGAGGCAGGAACAACAGTGGCGGGAGGAGAGAAGAGCATCGAAGTGTTTGACTTACCGGAGTCGGAGGATATCTTGTCTCCGTCGGAGCTGGACGCCACTAAACTCTACCAGAAGTTCAGAGAGGTAACCTGAAACGCCGCTGAGTCTTGATTACATAACTGATGGGAGCCTACAGCATTTTTCTCTGTCAGTGGTTTGAAGCGTACATTGCAAATACACCCGCAAAGCCACCAGAATTGCTTAGCTACTGAAAAAAGGTAATTAAATTTAACAACAGAAGAGACAAACACAATAGAGCCTCTGCTTAACTTGGCAAAACTATGCTTTTGTTAAGATCTGCAATCCGCTTACCCTCCCTAATTGCTAATCTGAATGATTAGAGGTGTGAACACAAAGCGATGTAAGTCCTCATTACACCTAATTGCCCGTGTTTTTAGTCGAAACTCCCAGAATAAGAATGAGAGTGAACACCATAAAGCTGGTTTTGAACCAGATCTTGGCAGCGCTTCACACACTGGGTTCCTCAGAATAGAAGCTCTCTTTGTTGAACCTCTGCTACCTTCGCTAACAGTGAACTCACTTTGAAGATTACAGCAATGAAACAGAACATAAATTTACTGACAGTTAACTCATTTATGCTTTAATGCTGCTAAAAAGCTGGTAATATCGATCTCGCGCTCCAACACCGTTACCATCAGCGCTGTGGCACCACCGGCCTTCCACAATTGCTGTATGACACATTTAACAAATGGCTCCAGCTGCACTGCAGGCACTGCAGTGGATATCGAGTGAAAATATAATGTAATCCCTGCGCTCAGGGTGTGTGCTTTTACTCCATTTTGTCATTTTCTCTGCTTCTTGACCTCTCTCCCATAGTTCAGCTTTTCCCTTTCATTCTTAAACGCCTCTGTTTTTGGAGTCTTTTAGGAAGCAGTTGACTATGGGGCTGTCAGGCTTTTGTTTATGACAGAGAGAAAATGTGATGATACAAGATGCTGTTTGAAACAGCAATGATTAATTGTGCTATGAAAAAAATTGGCACGACCAAACTTGTGATGGCGTTGCTTTAAAACGGTCCCAGGTCTGCAACCATCTGCAGTCAGCTGTGACTTTAATGATGACAAAAAATGTTGATAAGAAACAGTCAGTTTCTGATTGAATTGAGTCGAATGGTTAAAGTTTGCAATTGTTGCAATCTATCACTGATAATATGATGATTAATTGAGATAAATTGTCACTGTCTACATAGATTGACCCAAATTGTAAATCTGTATTTATAATTTAGGCAGCAATTATTTTTAAACCTTCACCAATTTTTCTCATCTGACTGCAGTCAGTCAGAGTCCGAGTGCAGTGTATTCGCTTTGTGATCCACAGAGGTTGAAGGTGTCGCGCGCTCACCCTCTGCAAACTACTCCTAAATGAAAAGGAAAATCTGTGCTATCACTGAGACACCACCACATTTTTTTTGGTCTCAAGGAAGTTGCTGTCCTATTTTTACTCCAGTGTGAGTGAGCGATAAGTAAATTATCTATCAGATGTCCACTGATTTGTAGACACAGCCAAATATTCTCCCCCAGTTTTAGTCAAACCTCTTTTAAAAAAAGGGGAGGATGACTCTTTATATTAGAAAATGAAAGCTCTGCAAAAATGTAACGCTCTGCAGGTCTAACACAGTCATTATCCCAACATGTACCCACTTTAGTCAGTCATTTCTTTTCCTTTGTTCCCTCTTAGACTTGCTGCATCACTGAGCTTTATTCAGACTCACTAGGTCCAAGGATTTCTAGAAGTTGTTAGAAGATGTTATGCAGAAGCAGATTAACTTTTGCACCAAAAGATTGGAACCTCGAAAGCTACACAACTACCTCTTGCTATTTTTGCACATGCACCAGAGCCCTGAAGTTTTCTTGGAGTTACACAGTAGCCGTGTGTTTAAGAACACACATCGAACACCCGTCAGTCTCCTAATAAATAAGCTGTGTGATGTTGGATTGCACTGACGTGTGAACAGAACAGCTCATATCCTCTTGCATTCACTACTAGTGAGTGTGCATCATGCACTGCCTCCTATCCAGGCAGCTCCCTCTTCTCAGCCTCACAGAGTATTTCCAGCACTGCCACCTACTTCCTGCCGTGTGTGACATGTGAGAAAGGAGAAGTGTGAAAAATATCCTGATGTGATTCTACCAAAATTATTTGAAGTTGTGTGAAAACTTCTTAACTTGCGCTACTGAAACTTCACAGTAACTTTTGGTAAACTTTAAAGTGAATTTTTAAACAGAAGCAGAACTGTTGGTATTGTAACTAATTTCTGCCACTGGAGGTACATCAGCTCACACAGAGATAGTGAATGATTGCAACAAAGAAACACTTTTTCAGTATATACATATAAGAATTTGATATTTGCTTTCAAACATAATGAAAGAAGAATTTTTCAGGAGGAGTAATTAGAAAAAAGTATGAGTATGAGTATTAGTACTTTAAAAAAGTTCGGCCAGTGCTCTGTGTGTCATGCCTCTACTTTTCTCTCAGAGCTTTCACTTGTTTCCATATCCTGCTCTCTCTCTCTGCATCTCCTCTTCTCCTGTTTATGTCTGCTCAGTCATTATCTAACTTCCTGTCTGCCTCTAATGGACCACCCATATACACTTGTACATCTAACTAACACCTAAGTTTCTTAGATTTTTTTTTTTTAGTTTAGTTTTAGTTTTAACATTGCATTAAAAATGCAAAACGTTATTCCATGTTAGAAATTTTTTTTCCCTTTATGGCTTCTTTAAACTACTTAGCAATTCATGCATCCCTCAGCTTTCCTTGCCTCTCCTCTGAGAGTGCATGTCAGTGCTGGAGCTGGGACGCTGTCAGGGGGAGGACAGAGTCGGCTGCCTCTGTCCATCACGCTGTATCGACGGCACAGAGAGCCTGCTCAGCCATCCATTTGATTATTGACCGCCCTCTCTTTTCTCTCCTGTTTTCTTTTTTTCTCCTCCTCTGCTACCAACAGCTCCAAATCAAACACACGGTGACCGAGGCCGAGATCCAGAAACTGAAAAACAAGGTAAGGGATTAAAACCGTCTCTGGGCAATCAGGCGACTGGTTGTGGGTGTGTTTTGTCAGTGTTTACATGATTTTTAAATCAATGTGAGACTTGGGTCAGGATAGCCGGTGAGCAGCGGTTCAAGCTTGGTGGAAATGTTTGGAAGATAAACTTTGGTGTTATGAGCGAGAGATGTTTTACAGAAACAATCCACAGCTAAAATACTTTAAATACACTTTATACAACTATTGAAGGTAGTGTTGTCTCTTTGCATGAAGCACTCAGTGTTGTCAGGGTCTCTGTGAATGCATTTGTGCCTGCATGCATATAAATAACGGTGTATTATTCATATGCAGTTTGATCAAAGTGGTGCCTATAAAGCTTTTTCCATGACAGTAACGATGTTCCTTGTGATCCAATTTGTACTCTTAATAAGTCTTTGCTCCAAAAAGGCGGTTTTATTAGCTTTTGCTTGCTGATTTTATAACTGTAGGTTTGATTTTGTCTTACTTTGAGACCTTCAAAACGTCCAACAAGCTCGTGTTTTAATAATTAAAAAACAGTCTATAACTTCTTACTTAATATTGGTTACATATCCTGTTAAAAGTGCCTGTTTTTTGGCATGTGTATATCTGTAATATGTTGTATATGTAGTGTTGGACATTATTGGACAATGCTGATTTTGTCCTGCAGCTGGCATCAGTGGAGCGGGAAAAGCAGCGCTGGGAGAAGGAGAAGAGCCAGCTGAAGGCCAGCATCGAGGAGAACAAGGAAAGGATGTTGAAGCTGGAGAGCTACTGGATCGAGGCACAGACGCTCTGCCACACCGTCAATGAACACCTGAAGGAGGCCCAGGCCCAGTACCAGGCTCTGGAGAAGAAGTACAACAAAGCCAAGAAGCTCATCAAAGACTTCCAGCAGAAGTGAGTGAACTCTGGTTAAACTGATCACATTGGACCTCTCACTGTGTTTATTTTTCTCGGTCATGAAATCTCAGTTACATTAAGCATTGGACCAATGACAGTGTTTTGGGTTCAACTGCTGATACAGTTTGAAAATGTAAGTCTGCTGGACACCGGCAGCAACTTAGGTTACTATAACTAATCATGCACTTTCTAATTAGGGTCATTTATCTGAGTTTACAACATTAGTCAAACTGAAAGAATGCTGAATGTACACAATTTAAAAAAAAGCATTGCAATTTATAGTCACATCCATGAAGTAACTTCAGTGAGGCTATTTATAGTCTTTTATATGATTATATAAATTATATATGATATTATATGATTATATATGATCTTGCAGGTATTTATGATGTCACATACTGGCAATCCCAGGTTCGGTTCACTATTTTCACTCAGTTTCAGATTTTAATGTGCTAATGTGTGCTAGCAGTTAATCAGAAATGATTTATGGAAGCTAGTGCATTGGGAAAACTAAAAACTGAACATCCGAGTGATTAAAAATGGGAAGGAGACAAGAATGTCCTAACAAAGTTTCATAGTTTCAAATTCTATGAATATTGCATATTATGTAAGAAAAAAAACATTGATTACTTCTTGAGGGACTGAAATCAGGGCAAAAAAAAGACTTATGTGCGATAAATTTTGTCTAGTTAGCCATACTTCATACAAAATCAGTCTGTTTCCATATGTTACTGTAGCATAACTGAGTCAGAAACCTCTGCCTAGGTGCTTTCATTAAATGTACTCTTCTCAGCTTGCCGAGAGAAGCAACAGCTCAGAAGGAAACCTCACATTTATTAGAACACTTCAACTCGTTCAAATGAGTACTTTAGCATTAATCCTACAAACATATGTTTTAATTTAAAAAAAAACTTGGATGAATTCCTTTGTTTTTCCTTTTACAGCTACCCTCGCTTCTCTCAGTGAACCTGAAAAACAATATCTACCTCATTTCCATCTGTGAGCTGGACCAACTATCTTTCTTTTAAGCCTTATCCCAGTTCAACAGTAAGAACTGTGTTTCCATTTTAATGCAGTGCAGCACTCCCTTCTTTTCTGTGCACTGATTTCAGAACCTCTCCTGCTCAGCTTCAGTGTGACTGGATATAATTGGCTGTGCCCCTGCAGGCCAAATGGAAGCAAAGCGGTGAAACAAACTCTCCATGCTGATCTGTACCTTCGGCCTGGGCTGCAGAGGAGAGAGACTGTGTGCCTTTCATTATGCAAACGTCCTCGCGTGCTCTTTCCTCCTTTGACCTGGAAATTGTTTCTGTTTCCCATCACGGAGGTCTTCAGATCCCCTTAAATGCACCTTTAAGGAGAGAGCATCCATCTGGAGGGGCTTAAAGTGAAGAAACACAGGTGTATCCTTCCTTGTGTCTCTCCCTCACATCCTCAGTGGGAGGACTTAAGATGTGATGAAGAAATGAGAAAGGAAAGCAAATAGAGGAGGGTAAAGTAGAGGTAAAAGGGAAAAAAAAGATGTGTGTGTTAACCGGGAACAGCGTGATCGGGGTAAAATGAGTCATTCTGGCATCCTCAAACAGCCTCAACTCCCTTATTACCACAGCTGAGCGAGAGGCAAGGCACTATCACACATGATGAAATGTGCACATGCACATATTATAGCTGTATCTTGTTTCCTGTGTTAACACACATCTCCTCTCCCCCGCCTCCTGTTCCTCCAGAGAGGTGGAGTTCATCCAGAAGGAGGATGCAGAGAGGAGGCGGCTGGAGGAGGCTGAGAAAGCTCACCTGGCTGAGATCCAGGGACTGCAAGTCAGGGTAAGCTATCTTTTTTTTTTCGATCCACTTTTCATTTTTGCCATAACTGAATAGCTTCCTGCCTTGTAGCTGTTCAGAGTGGGCTTGTAAAATTAAGCTATTTGCCCTTAAATAACATTGAAAATATGCTAATGAGTGACACAGTCTGGCTTTGTGTGAAATTACATTCAAAGCCAATAATCAACATGGACATAAAGATCTTTAGGAGCACCCCCCTGTGCTTTTTCTGCCACTTGGTGTTTCTTGTGATGTGCTCAGGCCCAGTGGTCACACTTTCTCACATGTCGTACTGCCTCTGCCGCCTCTTGTTTGCCGTTTCACTCTTTTCAATAAAAAGAAAGTGCGTCACAAAGATAATCGTGCTGGTGTGAGGTTTAATCATCAACCTTTAGGCCTTTCTTCACAGCTGAATTGTCAATCAAGCCTTTATTTTTTGCATTCGACACTCATTCCTTTACTGGATTTCAAAGGGTAAATAGTCGAGGGTGGCACAGGTAAGAGTTTTGGAAAACAGTAGACTCTTTATACTCTGATACTCCCTCTGTACAACAACACACAGAGTCTCTGTTTAACTACACTGACATACTGGAACAATTGTACTATATGTTCAGATATTTGTACACACTTGGCCAACCCCTGAAACTGATTTCTAGGTCTGTGCTCCTTTGTTCAGCCCCTCATTCATCAAGGATATGAAACAAGCTATTTTAGGTCCACTACCTAAGCCAACTTTCTTCTGATTGGCTGTCCCTTGTAAACAAAAGGTTTGAGCAGCAGAGAGGTGGGGAGGCTTCTGTGTTTACAGCCAGAGCTGTCACTGCATTCCCTTCCCAATTCATGACTCAGGATTGTTTACGGGAAAACCCACTCGATTTGGATTTCCAACGCCGATTATACAATTGAAGATGGTGACAGTCCACATAAACACTGGTAAAACTGTAAAACCTTTCTTTTGTACACTGTTGTGGGCTGCAGTGGCTTATTCCTAGCTAGCTTTCTAAGGAGGAAATCTCCTTTTTCCTTGCTTTTTGTCGCCACTGTGGTATTACTATGGAACGTGATTAACTCAGGAATTAGCTCACTCTGAGCTCCAACATCTTCTGAGGTGCCAGAGCTGACCATATTAAGGATGTCCACCCTCAGTGACATCATACAGAACCGAGTCTAGTAAAACCTGCCTGAAACTGAGAGTTTGGAGTAATTTGAAACCTGAGCTTGTAGCTCATAGGGATTACATGCAAAGATGCTGACCTCTTCATTTTAAACTTTTGTCATGTTTAATTTAATTGTAACAGTAAATATATGAAAATAAGAAAAAGAATTACAGGTCCACTTTTTTCAGATCAAGTATAAATGTGTTTTCTGATCATCTCAGCATGTCACCAATTGTTCCAGCGCTTTAAAGCAGCTGTTTGACAGGTATATGCCTACAGGTGATTAACATCAACCGGTTGGCCCCTCTCTACAGATTGCAACCTTAGAGTCGGAGCTAATGCAGCTGATGAAGCAGAACGGTATCCAGGTCAACAACAACAACAGCAGCAGTTCTGAGAGGCTCAGCGCTCAACAGCACAGCCCAAGCCGAGCTGCAACACAAGCCAGAGGTCTGTTTATGTGGGAACTGCCCATTATGGAAAAAGTATAATATCTCTATATGTTGTTGTTCTGCTTTTTGTTTGTTTGTTTTTCTTACCAAGAAGCTCAATGTCATTCACATCTGTAAGAATTTTATTGGAATTTAAAGGTGAACCAAGCAGCTAGCTAAACTTTATTTAGTTTTAATCATAATTTACGCATCTAAATTCTTTTCGTTTTAGTCTTTTAAATATCACGAGATTATGATGAGAGATTCTCAACACAGTTTAGCATTTCCGTTTCCTTTACATTAATTGCAAAATGTGTCCGTCTGTCTGCTCTTCTCTTCCTCACAAGTGTTAAAAATTTGTCCCATTTTCATGCGAAACAGGGAGCATGGGTCCTAGTTGTAGCATAAAAACCAAAAACACAACTTAATAAATTCTGATTGGATCTTGTCTCTCCAGACTATTTCCATCTTGTTTTTGTCCCTGTGCATTAATTTTATTTAGTTATTGTCAAAAACTATGATGAAAATCACTGGTCAGTGAAATTAATACTGCTTAGCGGGTGTGGGAGTAGTGGTAAAACCAGAGCTGCTACCAGTCCCTCTAAAGCTCACTAATGAATATGTCATATATTGGTTTGTTTTGTATGAATCAGTAAAAAACTGATAAATTAAAAAAGAAAAGCAATCATGGTGATTATTTGCCTTCTTTATTTACACTTCATTGATTGAACAAAGATCTTAAAATGCTGGTTAGCACATTTCGCTAGCTCTGGCTAGCCGTCGCTCTCTTAGCTTTTGTGCTAAGTTAGCTTGTTTAATGAATCTTGCAGTTTAATGATGATTTTGCTTTTAAAGTACATTAAAAAAACATTGCATTATCCAGTTTTTTACTGTTATTAACTCACACACTCCATTGTAGATAATATAGAAATATCCATTTCATTTTAAAAATCCTTACACTTGAACCTCTGACTCCAGTTTCACTCTGAACTACTGCAAATAAAAACAAACAACTAATCAGTCCTGAGCCCATCTGTCAGGGTTTCTGTCAGGCTTTGTTCTCCTCAAGTCTTTTTAAGCCCCGCTGGCTTCATTTCAGTGGCTGTAACCGTCAGAACAGTAGAAGAAGCACCATATCTGGTGCAGTTCAGCGGATAGCAGAGTGATTGCATCAGCAGTGAGATGAATGATGCAGCCCATGTATGCTATATTAAAACAAGAGGGGCCAAGGGATACGGCTTGAACGGGATATAAAGGAGAGAGCACACGTGGGAGGAGAATACAGGGTCTGCTGAAATTATCTTTTTGAAATTTAAGTGATTCAGTCTTTGTTTCATCTGACAGCATCTCCATGCGCACTCAGGGAATGAGGAGAACGATGATAATTGTCTGCCTAATTAGAAGTGTCGCTCATGGGGGAAGTTTGGACGTTTTAACTGAGTTGATGTTTTTTTTTAATAGGTGTGTTTAATGTGGGTGTCGACACGGGGTCAGGGAAAATTAAGAAGTTTAAAATAAGTAAAATTTAAAAAACAAACGTCACGGATGGACAGATGTCATCATGAAGGGATGTGCTCGGGTATACCAAAAGCTGTTTTTGCTCACCATTTCTTGTGTGTGTGGGTGTGACTCTAGACACGAAGGAGGGCTCTCCCCACTCACCCAGCAAAATAAAGGGCTACGGAGGAGTTCCCAGAGACAGCATCTGCTCCACAGAAGAGGTTTGTATTAACACGTTTCCTTTACTCAGTGAAACCTTAACACAGTTACATGATTTCTTATTTAACAACTGTTGAAACATGAAACAGACGTGATGCAGACAGATGTGACTTTTAATCAAACGAGCTCCATTATTCTCATTAGCGTACTCTTACATTTAATATGTCTCAGATTTCACCACAGGGTGTTTGGTATGTGCGTGTTTGTGGGCCTTTAACCCCTGTCCATTCCACTTTATTCCTTCTAATGGATTAATTGCCGCTTGTTGCTCTGCCACTTTAATTGAGTGTGTGGTTCTGTCACAACTTATTGTCTCTCCCAGTGTGATAATAACAGCCACAGTCTTTTTTTTCTGGATGAAAGGCTCGGGTTTGGCTAATGCTGTCACTTAACTCGGCAAGTTCAGATTAGATAAACAACTCGAGAACTGGATCAGAATTGGCAGGAACACAGAAGCTAAGGCACTGTGGCGCTTCCTGGGGAAAAGAGGGCAAGGAATTAGAAATGGTGAAAGTATGTCAAGTGACTTCTGTCAGATTAGTGCGCAGCTCTGGCTGCTCAGATCTCTTATTCTTTGATTGCACTTAATTTCCTCTTCGTTCTGTGGGAGTTCTTTGGAGGTTTTGCTTGTCTTTTCTTTCGCTCTCTCCTTAGTTACATTTCTCACATTTTTATGGCTTCTTAAATTAACTTGATGTTTCTTCTTCTCACTGCTGTTAGATCTCTGAAGGTCGTGGAAGTCAATCCCACAGCCACTCTGGTCCGTTTCGTAGTGTGGCCTCTTGCGATGGAGGAGTTCCAGCACTTAGGGTCCAGGCCAGTGCAGAGGGCTCCCCCAGAAAAACACTCCACGGTTAGCACTCCTGGATCCTGATAATGCAGAACTCTTTTAAGCTCATCATTTGATGTAGGAGTAATGTCAGTGCGGGGCGTTTCTTATCACAGGTTCTCAGTCTCCGAGCCCCTCTCAGAGTTTGGAGGAGCAGAGACCAGCTCTGGACCCTGGGTAAGGCAGCAGATGATGCAATGACATGTTAACTTTTTGAGTGAATTGATGCATCGTACGTTGTCCAGAGAAATGTCGTCAAATGAAGTTGATAAATGAAGTTGTTAATCAAACACAAGGATCACGTATAGAAGAGCAGTGCTGTGTACACTCACTGGGCACCTTATTAGGTACAGCTTACTCGTACTGGGCTGGATGCCCTTTTGGTAAGGTGCTAAAATGTTATGTTCAAGAAACCAGTTAGAAGTGATCTGAGCTTTGTGACATGGTGTCTTATCCTGCTGGAAGCAGCCATCAGTAGATGAGTAAACTGTGCTTATAAAAGGATGGACATGGTCAACAACAATACTCGAGTAGGCTGTGGCATTTAAGCGATGCTCAGTTGATGCTAAGGAATCCAAAATATATAAAGAAAATTCCCACACACCATTACGCCACCTGCAGCCTCAATAACTGGTAGAAAGCAGGATGCATCTATGCTTTTTTGCCAAATTCTGAACCCAACATTCAAATGTTGCAGCAGATCATCATTAGTTTCCTGTTCCTAGTTGACAAAAGTGGTACCCAGTGTGGTCTCCTGATGCTGCAAGCTCTAGAGATGCTATTCCAGGAACATCCAAGTTTCTGAAACTCCAGACTACCTGCAGCCACAGCCTACTCTGATGCTCAGTTTGGCTTCAGCAGGTTTTCTTGCCATGCCTAAATACACTGGGTTGCTGCCACGTGATTGGCTGAATACACATTTGTCTTAACAAGCTGTTGAACAGGTGTACCTAAATGAACCAGATGAGCATTTACAAACATGCTGAGCAATGAACACACATGAGCAGATAAAACATGCTGTATTTATTTACAGCTTTTATCGTCTGCAGTTTTAATCAGAATCAGAAATTCTTTATTAATCATGAAAGAAATTATAGGTTACAGCAGGCAGCACGCTAATGGCACGTGCACATTTACAAAGGAACCCTCTGACCGAACTTTACACAAACATCACATTGGGAAGACATGTCAGAGAGGTAAGCTGATAGGAAAAAAAACAACGAAAATACAAAACATGAGGTGAGAGGAGGAGAAAAAAAACTCAGACTGAGCTCCTACTGAGAGAACCGTTTGAGAACAGAAAAAAAACACCCCAGCACAAAAAGCACATGACTGTCAATACACCATAGAAACACAAGACAAGCAACTGGGGTGGGTAAGGGTAAGAGAGAGCCGGTGTAGATAGCACATCCGGTCCTGCAGCATGTCTGTGCTGGTCCAGTCAACCCGCCATCTACCCCGGAGAGGACAAGCATCGAAGGCGTTTGGAAATGGAGGGGGGATGAGTGTGTATCAGTGTATGTGTGTGTGTGTCCTGAGTTTAGCTGAGAGAGTGTCCTTCGCCCTGCCAGGCTAAGTAAACAGTCTTCCAGCCGACCCAGGTGGCCTTGCGTAGGGGAGGAGCAGTCTAAACACAGTCTGTTCTCAGGGTGAAAATTTGTTTTGTTCAGCTCCAGCCTTGAGACCACAGCTGGCGCCTATATGGTAGCCGGATGAAATGATGGTAGCATTCCTTTAGTTCGAACAACTGCATGTCAATTTTACAGCCGCTCTAACAGTCCAACACTGGTCTCTCAATCTCCCGTTGGAGAGCCGCGAGTTTCTCCATGATGTTATCCAATTTTCGCTCATAGGTCTTAGTCTGAGTTTTCACTGCAGCCTCAAGCTTCAAGATCTTATCCATGCAGCGTTCAATGAGCCTGTTTCGAGAAGTCACAAGTCGTCCCATCGCTTCAATCACAGCAGGCAGCCTTGTGGGGTTTTGAAGAGCCGATTCTGCTTTCTTTAATCTTCGATAAACCAGGGCCAAGCCAGCTCCGATCAGCAAGAACCCTGTTATCATGGTTCCGAAAAGGTAGATGTCTTCAATGTCCTCGATCGACAGCCGCGCCAGGCACAGGACCCTCCAGTTATTCCACTCGTCCATCGTGTATCCGGCAGGGAACGTCCCTCCAGGACACTCAGGCTCACCCGAGCCCAGGCTTCTCGTTGAGAAGAGGGTGTCAGTTGCATTCAGGGACCAGTTGATCAAATCCATAATTCCCCTTTTAGGTTTTAGAGAACAGACTGTGAGAGTGTTCCAGGGCAAGAGTAGAAAAGTAGACGAGGCTAGACAAGGACACGAGAAGCCAAGCAGGGAAGATAAGGGAAAGGGGGAGGAGAAAAGTGCGACCGCCTTCGTCAGGAGCCAAGAGAGACAATTTAACAACTGATCTTTTATGGAAGTCATTTTGTATGAATAATTACTAAAGGTTCATAGTTAACAAAGCACATGAACAAAAAAATTGCATCACATATGTTACTCAACTCCACTCCACCTCCTCACAGGAAAACCAAAGTGAAGGACAAAGATCCCAGAGCTTCACCTGGAAACAGGTATTACTGTTTGCATTTTCCTTGTCTCCCTCCATCTAATAAACACGAGGATTTAAAATGTTTACTTCACGATGGCTGATTTCGGAACTCCCTGCACCTCTTTCTGTCTCTCAGCTCCACAGAGCCGTCAGCAGAGAACAGTCCAGAGTACCTCAAGGCAAAGGTGTGTGAGGTTTGGTCATTGGTACCTTGGTAAATAGTGATTCTCTCTGAATAATAGTCTGCTTTGCCCTCTGTGGTGCACAATTATACATGCACTTAAAAAAGTCTTCTTGGCATCTGTGCAGTTTTTAACAAGTTCTGCATTTTCACTGCAGGTTACTGTTCACTTTGTAGCTTTAATGTACTGCGTTGTTTCTGTTGAACAGACTGCACTCACATGGCCACACTTCTTCTCCTATTCACATTATGTGGTATTGTATTCCTTTATGTTTAATAATAATGGTTCAAACAATTGAAATGGAAATAATTTTGTACCCCAAGATGTAATTTGGGGCTTATATAAAAGGAAATTACCTTACCAGAGCCATAGAAATCCATAATTTGCTTTATAATTGCCCAATTAATTGTGTAACAGTCGATGAAACTCGGTAAAAAAAAAACCATAATGATTTAGCAAACATATGATCTGATTTTAGGTGTTAATTTAACTTTAGCAGAAAAATCTGATCACAGTGTGAATGAGTTCATTTTCTAATGTGTATAAAATCAGTTAAACCTCATCCTGATACAATAAGATTAAAGTTGTAGGAACTTACGTGAAAACTGGCTAATCCTGTGTAATATCAGATGGGGTTACCATAGGATTAAAAAGGAGATTATTTTTGATCCTGCACCAGTTCAGTCCTCTCTCACTCCCCAGCCACCCTCAGTATAAGAAGAGTGCACATGAGAAGATAAATCTTATCAGAACTTCTTCTTAATTATGTTTTTATGGAGCTTTTAGGTAAGGAGTCCTCCCAGAAAGCTGGCAGTCTAAGCCTGAGATTAGTCTCACTTTGACCTCAGATGGTACTGAGACTAAAAGGACTGAGTTAAGCTACTGTATGTTATTGAGCGTAAGAAATAGCTCTACACTCTTAGCCATATATCACTGAAACTATAAATCTGTGTATTTCAGGCGAAAAAAGGAACGTTCAGTAGCTCAAATAAAGTTTCTCTGCAGGGCAGTGTTGTGTCCACGTAAATTCCAGCCAAATTTATAGTTTGCATACTATTCAAGCATCTTTAAAAAATTACAGATATGCACACACTCCTTCTTGGAGCTTGTCAAACACCTAAAACATAATTTTTTTTAAAAACAGGGCAATGAAGCACACCAGTTACATTCTGGGAGAAAAAAACCTCCATTTTCTTGATTCATTCACTCCCCGTCCGCTCTCTCAGGTTAAAAAAATCATTCTTAAATACATTTGTAACATCTACATCGTGTTGGGCTTCACATAACGCTGCACAGAAACATCAATAACAGAGAAGCGTTCCAACTAATCGGCTAAATTCAGCCGCAGAGCCAGTTGGCTCGCCACAAGTCTTACGAACGTGTTGTTGATTTCTTAGGCACCCACTTTGTGCGATGATCTGAGTGCCAGCAGCAGCAGCTCAGTAGAGATCAGCGGTCTGCTCAGTGAAGCCAAGATGTCAGGACGCTCACACACGCTGGTGCTGTCCTCAGATGAGGTACTAAATGTTCCCGAAACTTCTTCGTGGACGTTCAATATGGAAACACAAACCATAAATACAAGCTTATTTATCTTCGCTGGTTCAAATCAGCCCATGCATAAAGTGTGTAATCTTATAGAAAACATCCAGAAAGTTTTTCTTTTTTTTTCTTTACATTATTGCACGAAAGCTTATCTTGTTTTTACTGCAGAAAAGCACTTTTTTTAATTTGCCAGGCTACCACAGAGGTAGCTTTTTCATTTCTGTTCTGTTAACTACCCAATCATTTTCTGTTGTTTTCTATGCTGCAACATTCAGAGTCTGGATATGATAGATGATGAGGTGAGACTGAGGTTCTTTTAATGCATGCGTGTCTCTGTGTCTGTTGAGCTGTGTGTAAACCATTTGTCTGTGTCTCACTGCTACACATCTTTGGTGAGGAACGATCTTTTTTTCTCTTCATGGCCCCCAGAATTTCAGTATTTCTACGTGCTGAATGTAGGCATCGGTGGAATTTTTGATGTTGTTGACTGGGTTTGAGCCCATTATTCATCCAAATTAAGCACTAAAGATGGAGCTGATAGGTTTTTTTTTATCGTATGTGCTTCTTTTCCTTGTCATGTATGTTCAGATGCTAGACGAGGGGCAGTTTTCAAAGCAGTACCAGTGGCAGAACCGCAGCATTACCGAATGGACTTCACAGCAAGTGGCCCACTGGCTTATGGGCCTAAACTTAGAACACCATATTCCAGAATTCACTGCCAAAAATATAGATGGAGTGCAGCTGCTTCAGCTGAATAGTGCTGAGCTCAAGGTAACAGAAACCTTTTTGTTATTAAATGCATCTTAATTAGATTTCGAATACAGATCACATCACAATGACCCAGTCAAAGTCCTCAAAGATAATAACGTAATTAAAAGGCTATGCCAGGACCTTAAGAGGGCTGTTTATAAATGAAACCTCCATAAAGAGTAGATAATGAATTCCTTCACAATTATGTGAAAGACTGATACATGTTTTCAGAAAACTATGACTTCATTGCTGCTAAAAGTAGTTCCAAGGGTATAGGCCTAACAATAAAGTGTTTTTATGAGATGAGCATAACTGGTCTGGCAAAAGAAATATGAAGGATTAAAAAGAATAAAGCGAAATAATTATACTTATGAGATAAATATAAAACAATTTTTGCTAATTTGTTTCAGGCTCTTGGGGTCACTTCTTCCCAGGATCGAACACTGATCAAGAAGAAGATCAAAGACCTTAAAGTTATGATGGAAAAGGCCAAGAGGAACCAAGAAAAGATGGAGAAACAGCGCGAAAAGCTGCGGAAGAGAGAGCTGGAGCAGCAGCAGAAAGATGCACGTAAAGAAAGTGCGGCGGAGTGAAACGAGCCCCCAGATTACCTCCCGCTTTACTGTAGCACCACATCAAGTAGCATCTCGCAGAACAGAACGTCAGCAGGCCCCACAAACGAACCCCGAGGGACGCCCGCTCAGTAGTTCAGTAGTTCTGAAAGGTGGAGCTCCACACCCAGCTGCCAGTTGTTGTTGAGTGACCTTTTCACCAACCAAACGAAACCAAAAGGATCAGTTGGATAACAGAATGGTGCCCTTCATTTGCCTCATTTTACACCCATCCTGTGTTTTTAGCCAGAATTTATGGATTCTGTTTTGCTGTTTATAGCTGTAAATTGGTTTTATTTATTCATATCCAGAGTGCGCCTGTGAAAAGTTTATCTCTGTAACCTACCACATCATCTCCAGAGACTTCTCTTACCCATCATAGCACCTTTAGACATAGACATGTACATGTACAGTGATAAATAAGGATGTAGATGATGTGCCATTTCAATAGACTTATGTATATCCTGCTCAAATCTAAAGATCAGCGGAATCTCTTTATGGCTTTTACGAAGCACATACAGTTCAGGTCTTTGTGTTGGATTACATGAGGCAGTGTTCATCTCCCACCACCAGGTGTCCCCATGCTGCTTACTTTCACTACTGAATAAGGCAACACTGGAACTTCCCTAAAGGAATTGAACTGGAAATTAAAGATTCGCCGGGAGAAACGAGCGCTTTGATTTCTTGTAAGAACACTGGAAGTGCAACCACTGTAAATTTGACCTGCGTACTGGCTTACAGTGCCCCTTACCGTATACATGTACCATACTCAAGCCGTTTAAAGTATAAATGATGAAGACATACTAAACTGACTGGACTTGTTCTAATAGAGATTTCAGGTACTGTGTAATTATTACATTTGTAACTTACCTAACCCGAACCACAAAAAACAGAAAAGTTGCTAAAAATGAAACTTCTTGCTTAAATGCATAATGTTGCTTTGACTCCCCCTTGTAACCTGCTTTTGACCTCTTTTTATATTCTCTCAGTAACAAAGTAATACCTGCCGCTGCCTTTAGAAATTTCAGCTTAGTAGAATTTTTCCAAACTCTGCCCTCTTCTGTGCAAGCGTCAGGACACATACGATAGACTAAACGACGTCCTCATTCGTGTCATTTTCTTATCTCCGATGCTTTGTCATGCAGATTTCTCTGGAATGTCCTGAAAATAACATTTTGTAATGCTGCCATAAAGATGCTTTGTGCGACACCTAAAGTGCAGAAACTGTCCTTAAAGATGATCTCACCTAAAACTTTGATGTTACAGTGGAATTGAACTTTACAGCCGGAATATATTTTGGACTTTATTCTGAAATTGGTTCATCATTGTTGGAACGATTTATTTTAAGATTTCAAAGCTCACCGAGAGACATTTTGCCTGTGTTACTTCTTTATCATTCCCAGGAATTATTTTATAGGTTTACATTAAATGTAGAAACACCACAGCCACCATGAGAGATATGCAGGCAGCTGTGACGATATCTTTATCTTAATGACCCTGTCTGGTGTGCTGCTAACAGGCTGAGAAGAATAGATGGGGTATCAGTGCGGGTATACATGATAGTAGATTGTGTTATTATTTATTTATTTCTGTATTTAATGAAGCAGTGTACTATTGTTTATGATAACGAAATAAGAGGATTATTAACATTTAATAATTATTTATCCAGAATTGTATGATTACCTACTTTTGCCAAACATGATCAGAAAGTGATTTCAATTCAAATGGCTGTTATCAAATGAAGGATTTAAAGGTCGATATTGCAACGAGAGAAAAAAGTCAGTAGTATAGTCCCATTGTGCTTGTGGTTTTCTTCTAATACCACCATAGTGCTGCTCCCGTGCTACTCTAATAAACTGCTCATGATGTATTCTCATGAAATGTTTTGTAACACTTGAATCCTTCTATTAATACCCCTCCACACACACCCTGACAAACCAGTCAGCAGACTCTTTTGTATGTATAGTTAAACACTGAAAGCAATATGCTGTAAGAGTCCTAAAGAAGCCTTGTTTTGTATTGTGTCAATGTGGGTGCGCTGTTTTCCAGAGGGCTGAGGATGCTTAAAGGTCAGACCTGAGCTAAATACGGGATTCCAGATCTTTTCTATGTGCTTGACCGATCTTGCCAGGCGTGATGAAACCATCGTATACATGGGACCTCAGTGCTCCCGGCGGGCAGAGACACAGATGAATCATGTCTGGAAGGTTTTTTTCTTTTTTATGTATGTAGGGATAGCAAAAAGATATTTGCCACAAACTGCTAGCCATGCTTTCACTTTTAAAAAAAGCTGTGCTTATTCTCCTCCTCCTCCTTTTTTTTTGTCATTGCCTTGCTGTCACATTCTGAAAACTTTGAAAGGGCAGCTACCTGTCACACTGAATAAAATGTGCAGCCACTGTCCACAGTTTGCTTTTGTTTCTTCTTCTTCTTTCTTCTTCTGCATGTGTCTTATTCAGTCAGACACGCACATAAAAATATTAGAGTTGTTTTTTTTCTCTCAGGTTCATAAAGCTGATTATTTTTTACCACATCCACTGATAGAATGGATACAATACAATGCCCTTCTGTCACTGGACACCCCCCAGCACACTAACTGGTCAGCCAGCTTTAGCTTTCCCATCCCACTCTCTATGCTTTCTATTTATGTTCATCCTAATTTCTCTCCAGGACTATTTTCTCCCAGTGACGACGCACTGCTGTCACTTGTTGCCCCTCTTCATCTGCTTTATTTTTGTCTTCTTTCTCCATGCAACTCCTATGGCCGGGCTGATGGAGTTGTTGCAATGGTTGGTATGCTGGAATCCTTCATCGTCAACATTTGTGCGTTGCTTTCCAACATACTCCGTGCTTTATGGACAATATTAGCGTCTAAGCCAGACGATTTGGCAGCGTTAGGGCCTTTGCACAGAGATTTCATGGAGGATTTGAGTCCCAGAAAACTGGCTGAAAAACAGCTGAAGCAACGGTTCCTGGAGGCCTTGCAGACCAACAACGCACAGGAAGTCCTTGAGATTTTACAAACCAGCAAACTAGACATTGACGTTGTGTTGGAGGTGGAAGATCCCAGCATGGTCCTCGCCTCGTACAAACAAGGTGCAGGAAAACTGTGTGTGTTTGTGAGTGTGTGTGTGTGCTGAGTATAAATGCAGATCGTGAGATTTCTCACACTTCTCCATTGTTGGTAAGCAGTCTGGTAAGTTGACCACTAGGTGGTGCAAAACTTCCATAGAACCATAGTACATAGGATGGATTGTTGCACACACTTTAATGCAACATATTGGATTGTGTGTGTGTGTGTGTGTGTGTGTGTGTGTGTGTGTGTGTGTGTGTGTGTGTGTGTAACTCAAACATTACAAAGCACTTAGATGAAACTGCTGTAATTATGAAGAATTAAAAGTACAAAAACTTTACTGTTGCTGAAAGTTACTTCCTACTTTTCTGATCTCTTTTAGGATACTGGCTACCTGGCTACAAACTGGAAAAGTCCTGGGCCATGGGTATCCATGTATGTGTAATGTACAATGCTGTGGAGACAGCGCTGGTACTCCTTCAGAAAGGCGCAGCTGTCAATCAGATGCCCAATGGGAAGACGCCTCTGCACGTGGCCTGCGAGGTGTCCAATGGAGACTGTGTGCCCTTGCTTTTGGCTCACGGGGCAAAGGTCAACAGCCTGTCTCTGAGCGGGCACACGCCGCTGCACTACTGCATTACCCGGGAGTCTGTAGAGTGTGCCAAGCAACTTATACTCAAAGGTGAGAAGGCAAGGGTAGAAGCACAAATACAGTCACTGCAGAAACCACTAAAACAACAACAAAATCTTTTTTTCCCTCTCATCGAGGTGCAAAAGTCAACAAAGCAAGCCACAACAACGAAGAGGACACACCTCTACACACGGCAGCCAGATTCGGTGTTCCAGAGCTGGTGGCTCTCTATTTGGCTCATGGAGCATCTGTGAATGCAGTGAACTCTCTGCAGGAGACTCCTCTGATGACTGCAGCCTTCTGGGCTTTTGACACTAAGGAGCAAACCTACAGCCAAGACCATCATCTAGTCTGTCGCCTCCTGCTGGACTATCAAGCTGGTAAGACGTTCTAGATAGGTTTCCTTGACTTTGACTTTAACCCCCCCCTTACTTCCACTGCAATGTTTCAGATTTGATTTCTGTTGCAGATCCCAACATTCAGGAGGCAGACCACAAAACAGCTCTTCACAAAGCTGCCTGGAACTGCGATCACGTCCTGATAAAGATGCTGCTGGAGGCTGGGGCAGATTCTCGAGCCATGGACATCAACGGCTGTTCTCCCATTCAGTATCTCCTTAAAGTGACGGAAGTCAGGCCTATGGCCATGCCAGACCTCTGCTTTCAGCTGCTGCTCAACTACAATGCAGCACGGATTTACCCACCACAGTTCCACAAGGTAGAGAAGATGATGATGTGGGTTTGTGCTGAAATGATCTGCGTTATACTATATGTTTAACCACAAAGTCTGTAATGTTTTGCACAGGTGTTCCAGAACTGCCATGACTACCCCAGAGTTGTAGAAATCTTGGTTAACTCCTATAGCAGTTTAAAACCCACAAGGAAGTGGAGAGCTGCTCTTCCTGATGACTGCTACAAGGTAGAGCTAATAAAGACTGTTTTCTTTAAATACAATACACACACACTGACTGAAATTAAAAAGGAAAAAACATAATCCTGTGTAAGAAATCTCATTTATAATTTAAAAAATTGTAAAAACTGAAAAGAATGTTAAAAGATGAAATATTTATAGATGAACAAATTCAAAGCTATATGATGTCTCTCAACTGTTAATTAGTGTATTGCCCCTTTAAATTCAGCTTACATTAGCTGAATATGACTGAGTGTGCCCTCTCATTGAAGTTAAACAAAAGCGTCTGTTTCTTTTTGTCTCCTCAGCGCCATAAAGACTTCTACGACTCCCTGTTTGCTGTTTGCACCGACGCTCCTCGCAGTCTGCTTCACCTCTCCAGATGTGCCATCAGAGCTGCCCTGGGCAGTTTCTGTGACAGAGGAGTAGCACAGCTGCCTCTGCCATTATCCATGAAGAAGTATTTATTACTAGAACCTGAGGGGATACTGTACTGATAGAGACTCTGGTGTTCTGATGTGCAGAATGAGGCCTAATGACCTGAATAGAAACATTTATTAAGTGCCTCTCCGCTAACTGTGGAAATGAAAAGTGGTGCAAGATGTAACATCATCATCATTAACATTTTATTTATTTAAAACACCTCAGAAAGCACAGAAAAAGAACAAAAAAAGGTATTTTTTGTGCTTGCAGGATGAGCCATTTCTGTGTTTTAGTTAATAGCTGCTAACATTCCAGGACAGCTGGCAGGTCGGAGGGGAGATTTGTTAAAATAGCTTTAAGATGCTTCCAGATGTTAAATCCTCCTCATTGGTGTTTTTGTTGTATAGATGGCAATGGTGTGTCTAGTCTGAATCTTAAGGCATAGTGATATATGTAATACATATAAAGGCTTGATAGTGGAGGGCCTGCCCAAATAAATAACTTCCCTGTAACATATTGTGAGAAAATTCTTACCGAAATTTTGTTTCTTGTAAATAGTGAAAAATATATAAAGTAAGTTCTTTTTTTTCCAACCCAAATGACTCCTAGTTTTGCCTTCTCTCTGTTAGGTTGTTATTATGAGAAAAAACTACCACATTCAGAATTTCTTGCATTCAAAAATAACACAACCATTTGGTCTTTTCAAAGATAAGGACCAAATTATGGGGGCGTTAAAAGTTAAATGAGAGCTGTGGATTGACATTTTTGTCTGTATAAAGAGAAGGTGTCCAATTCGAAGGACAGAGCTTCGAACACTGCCTGTCGTGACACAGTGCACCCTGAAAACAAAAGCAGCTTCATGATTAATCAGTAGTGCAAATAACACAGCCAAGGTTTCTACAGCGTCTGAACCCACTGAAAGAGGTTATTAGTAGTTAATTTGCTCCATATCAATTTTTGAGGATATAAATGTAGAATATATTGAAAAAATGAAACTAAACGTGACGTCATGCGGGGAGATATATTGCTATGTTGACACCTTTACTAGCCTGGTGAGTCTGAAATTAATTTTATTAAAAAGAAACAGTTTGATTATCAGCGTCTCGTTTCTGCCAACACCCAGAGGAGTCTGAGATAATGGGATCTATAGGTCATTTTTGTAATGACCCAATAAAAGACTAAAAATGAGATGTACGAAGCTCTAGATCACTTACATTAATGACTAAGGTGATGATAACAGCAAAGCAAAAAGAAAGAAGTTTTAAAGCAGTGACAGCATCACTCCCTAACCCTTAAATGTTTAATCGACAAATGTGCAAATGTTTGCATTTACTTTATTCTTTAGAGTGACAGAGGGACCTTTAGCCACCCAAAAAGAAGCATCTAAAGTGTCTTTAGTGCGAGTCTCTTTGCTGTAGCTATTTTCCGCCTGTGCAGTGTTGACCAGATTCTCTCTCTATGGACAGCCCATGCAGAGAAGGCTCCAAATCTACCCGGCAACCAGCCTTAATGCGCACTCTCAAACTCATGTTCCACTTTCAGGAGAACAAACACTTGACAAAACCCTCCGGAACAAGTGCTTGTTTTTCCAGTGGACTGCTTGTAGCCAAAAAAAAAGGAAAACACTGTCTGCAGTGCAAGAAAGCACCCGACGCCCTCAGATCAGAGATAACTTCTTAAAAAGGAAGAAGAAGAACTTAATATTCTTTTCAGGTTTTACCAGAATGAGCACAGTAAATCCTCTCCTAGAGGAAACTGTTCTGAAAGGTGTCAAGTCTGCCTTTAATCCTTTACAGAACATGGCCCAGTCCTTTCACAACAGCATGCTGTAATGATGTCTGTCTATTTCATCCAGATGCTGAGTCACCGGGAGAAAGACTAATGTACAACAGAGGAAAGAAGTCATTAGACTGAGGCAGACTGGAGGAGACGCTAGAGGAGATAAATGAACTGTCAACCTAATGAAACGTTAAGATTAAAGCTTCGTGCTTGGTATTTTTGTGTCGTCTCTAATGATGCATTATAGAGACACACAAAATGAATATCTGAGGCGAGGAGAAGTCATTTTAAAATATTCAGAAAACCATCTACAAAATATTTATTGTTTGGATAATCACACTTTCAGTACTTGAAAGTGTGATTATAATACTGTGTCAAAGTTTTGAGCCTAAAATAGTTGAGATATTGACACAACAACTTGGTACATCTTGGCATGAAGTGCAGTGTGTCCTTAAAAATGGGCAGGAAACTGGACAAAAGTAGCACATCTAAAATAAAATTTTAAAAAATCTAGCTACAGCATTTGAAATGATCTGAAAGTCATGTCCTTAAAAAACAGGGGAAAAAATCCAGCAAAGGCCCGACACTGGACCAGAAGCCTCATCAGAAATGAGCAGAAATGAAGCTATTCTTAAAGAACAGTGAGAAAAGGCAGCGGTCAGCCATGGATTGGCCTCCCCAGAGCCCAGACCTCAGCATTACTGAGGCAGTGTGGGAACAAAAGGCAGCCAACATCCAAAGAAGAGCTTTGATTGTCCTTCAAGAAGCCTGGAGAAGTATTCCTTGGCTGCTCCTTCATCCATAAGGGGTCGCCACAGCTGCTTGAAGAAATTACAAGACCGCTTGCCTAAGGGAGCTTCTGCTCAGTAGTGCAGTTGCAAATAAATGAAATGTGAACAAAAGAGCAGAAGCTGTTTATAACCAGTAATTCAGATAGAAAGATACAGTCATTATGAACCTTACAGCAGTCTATAGGTCATGTGGAGGTGTCTGTACTGCACCTCTGTTTTGTACTTTTTGGACAACCCAGCATTACCAAACATTACCAAAACTTGCAGCTTGAATCCCATCCATGAATCCTTTTTAGTACCTGCATATCCAGTTCAGTGGAAGGAGGCCTGGAGATGGTCCCAGCCATCCTGGGCCACTCCATCTGTGAAGTCTCAAAATTAAACAAGACAGTCGATCTCTTTATGCACCAAAAGCGCTGCACTTTGTCTGCTGCAGCTTTTCAGTACTGGCATGTCAACTTTATAAGTAAACAAACAGTGTCAACAGTAAAAAGGTTAAATCCAGGCGAACTCGTGCCCCGGCATGTTGCACAGTCGAACACGGAACAAAGCTAATATTTGTGCTGTGATATTTGTCTTCACTTGTATTTCTTAACTTTCTATGCCAAGATTCACAGCAGAGATCCAAACCAAGTGTCTGACGTAGCCTTCTGATTTGCCTGTGTTCATATTCTGTAGAGGGAACATTGTTAGGATGACTGAAGGACCAGGACCCGAGTGGCCTAATTCTAAAAATATACCAGTGAGGATTACGTCGGAGAAAAGGTCTTTGCTTTTATTGATCTTATACTTAGTCTTACTCTCTCTTATCTTTCAGATCGACCTTGCATAATCCTGTATTTGTATGATGATGGCAGTAAACTGTAAAACAGAACAGAGTGACACAAACAAACAAAGAGAAACCAAACTAGAAAGGAGCACCGCATTTGAGGGCACACAGAGGAAGCTGCAAAACAAGACAGCCTGTTCTCGGCCTCTATTGGAAGGCAGCCACAGAAAGCCAATGGACTGCGTCTATTATGGCGACTTACAAACAGCAAAGTTTCCTAAAACGAGCTGTGGAAAAAGAGAAGGGAGACTTTAAGAGGGCGGTAACAAATGGGAGCTGTTTACAGACTGTAAACAGTTTCATTTCTGTTCACCGACTGTTCAAATGAACAACAAAGTGCAGAAGCATGAAGTGGATCTGAAGAAACGATACACTGAGAGGTGACAGGAGTTTATTTTTTTAATTTCTACATTCACTGGTCCTCTTAGTGGTGAACCACAGACTCAGTGCAGGGACACTTGGCCTTTGAGTGACACTTATAGAGTAAAAGGTGAAAACTGCACATCTATGAATTCAAGGGAAAACATCACATAAAGGTTAAAATATTTTCTCAACATTAAGTTCCCAAGACATTTTTCCAAACTTAAAACTAAATGGATTGAATATAAAAGTATGTCTGGCAGCTAATGGCTTACATCTTACATAAGGTCCTCTCTCATCTGTTTGTGTTGTTCCTACGTGCCTCCAATACTGACTGTATCATGTCAGGCACAGATGACAGGGTGAAGACTTACAGTGTGTTACACAACAGGGAGCTAAAGTACAACTTCCTGCAGAAATTGTACTTCCCATTAAACTTCACACATACTTTAACACTTTAAAATCACTGTAAAGGGAACATTCGCAACTATTTTTCACCCATCTGACCAGGCATGATAAATTTCTCCACTCATTCCTCTGCATGACTCGACTTTTCAAACTCCTTTCAGCTTGCATAAAGACACGAGGTACATAATTAGTGACACTGAAAATCCTCCAACACACACAAATGTGGCATCGCAGCAAAAATAATTTCACATTTGCTGTTGTTCACAAAGAAACGCTGAAAGCTGCGCGAACGAAGCAGCGCTGCATATTATAGCTGATCGTTGGAAACAGACTTTGCTCCCTTTGTGTTTATGCGGCAGTCAGCGAACGCGCCCCCGTTCCGCTCAAAGACACAAACACTTCAGTCGGCTGTGGCGGGCCTTTTTTAAAAACAAAAAACAAAAGCGTTTAACCTAATGCACAAACACAAAATACTTGTGATTTTAATAAACCAAACGTCTGGATTGTGAATGATACTAATGTTACATAAACACAAAGAGGACTTTTTTTCTGAGCGTAATCACTGAGGTAAAAAGGAGATTATTAATTGTTCCATTCCCATTAGCAGCACATTTTGTGGGGTGAGCTTATGTTAGATGACGGCTGGTCTGAAATCAGATTCAGGTTTAGGTTTGTTACTGCTTTCTTCATACCAACAATAAACTTTTGTTTTTTCCGCCCTCCCTCAGGGAGAGAGAAGAGTCCGCGACAAAAATCCAAGTCCAGCAACACGCTGAAAGCTTTTTGGTTCCTCCGACATGTGCTCTCTTCTTCTTAATTTTCCTCATTCTCCTTCCTCAGTCTGACATCACCCGCTTGTCTCATACCTGCCGAGCTTCTTTGGATCCTTGCTGGGCATGCACCAGTCATCGGCCTCTGTGGTGGACTGGTAATGCCGCAGGGCCGACTTGTTGAAAACAGGAAGTCTCTCCACAGACTCTGAAGACAGGGCCTAGTGATAGAGCATGGAGGGGAACTCATTACTGGAGTCTAACCACACCCCCGCCCACCCTGCTCTCCTGCCGAGGTCCATGTGTGTCTAATTAGAACTCAGTAGCCTGTTTAAACGACATCCCTCGATCTCCAGAATGTAACCTTGTAAAATTATACTAACAACATTTCTGTATTAAATAGTTACTCTGCATCTGCCTCCACTCAGCCTATCCAGTACGTCCGGCTAACAGCATGCAAGTTTGTGAACTCTGCACCAACTTGGCCTTCAATGTTATTTTTTGACATTATGTGTTAAGGTGGAGCTGTTCTCACCTTCAAGTATATGACCGCTGATGTGCCATAACCCTCCATTGAGTAGAGCTGCAGGTCTCCCTGGAAATACTTGGCGTACAGGCGGGAAATGGGCAGGCCATAGCCGAAACCAGCCTGAATAAAGGTCGGGAAAGCAGAAACATAACAAGGTTACACTGTCTTTATAGATTAATCTAAAACTACTCCAACATTTAAAAAAATAGCAGAGTCTCTCATGGTTAGAGTTTAAACCAGTGAACCACTGCTGACTGCATTTCACGGTGTAATAAGCTCATTTGCAGCCATGTTTGTTTGTGTAAGTGGTTAAAACAGGGCGAATTAGACTCAGGTTTACTCCTAATGTCAGGTTTAAAGACAACAGCAAGATTTTACTGAACTTTACTCAAAGACCTTTTTTTCTTCTAAATATTGCACTTTTCTTGGCTAAATTAGAACGTGCTTAACACAAAGACACTGCAAATATTAAAAAACACCAGAATAATCATAAAAGCACCTCCAAAACAAAGAAAAACTAAGAACAATCCAGAATTTTGAAAATTAGATTTAAAAAACTCTCATAAAAGCTTGTCAATAAAGGGAACTTTTACTCTATTTTACCCCTTGAAAGCATACTGGGAGTGACCCTTTTCTAAACTGAGTGGTTTCTGTGATATTTCAGGCCTGTTTGCAGAACCAAATGACAGGGTTTGCCACAAACGTTAGTGAGGGTGGTCTCTGCCTCTGCAGCTATTCTTGGAAAAAACCCAGTCGTTAAACAGTCTTTATTGATTTGTGCTGTCATTAAAGTTTCAGAACCTATCATTAAAGGTACAGGCAAGGTCATCAAATGTTGTCTTTAGCAGAGATTTAACAGACAAAAAAGTTTCCATTATAAGTCAC